CACACACACACACACACACACACACACACACACACACACACACATACACATACATGTATATATTATCCGTATGCATTTAACTTTAGAAATTAATTAGCTTACTGATATAACTTCCAGCACTGATATAACTTATTTTAAAGTGATAATAATTACTAATATAACTAATATAACTTACTGATTTACCTTTACCGATATAACAAGATAACTTGATGGTATACTTCACTGATTTAACTTATTTTCAAAGTGAAAATAATTTTTTAACAATTAAAAAGTCTATCCTTTTTTGATGAATTTCACTCCTTTTAAATTTTCATTATGAAATGAAATTTCTGGAAGATCGATGTCAGTGGAACAAAGTTAAAATCAAAATGCTTGAATCAGTGTCTAAATTTAGACTTTTATGATTAAATTAGCTTGAAATATGGGTAAAAATAACTGAACTCACATCTACTAAACCTGGAATTTGGGAAAATATCACTACGGTCGGTTAATTTCTCTAATTAAATTCTAAATTTTCCAAACTTCCTTCTTTTCTTCCCAAGTACATTTCCCAACCATTTAATTATGCAAAAATAGTTTGAAGAAAATGAATAATTGTGAGTTCTAAAATAAATGCAATTTGTCAACTCAGACAGGAAATGATAAAATGAAAATTGGTTGGAATTTTTTATCTCTTTCTTTACCTATATTTTTTATATAATTTTTTAATTGACCAAAATTTGCATTGTATGAAAGTTAATTGAAGTTTGCTATCGATTTTTTTATTGTGAAATTTGAGAGAAATATATTCAATTCATTGAGTTAAAGTGATTTGTGAGGACATTCGAAATGTGACGGATCTTTTAAAAAGCTAGCTTATATGTACTCATATGAAGTGATGTTTAAAATTTGTTTCCCTTTTGTAAATCAAAATAATACAGAAAGAATTAGAAATGTGAACTGAAGGGGAAAAAAAGTTGAAAGAAAATTTAAAGTTTTATTTCTGGTTGAAAGCTTGAAATTCCAAATATATATTGACATCCCAACGATTGGAATATCTTGGATCTCTTTTTACTCGAATAAAGAATGGAAAAAAAGATAAGAATTACTACAAACCTTCGAAAAGAACAGCTGTATCGCCACGGGATTCCAATATTTCATTTCCAAATTGTAATTCCACGTATAATTATACGGTGCGTAGAAAACTTTTCCGGCTGGTCCTCGCCATACTTCAAATTCCGGATAATTGAAGTCCGAATAGAGTTGCCGTTTTCCCATGCTTTCTGATAAAGAAAAATGATCAGATAGTTATTTTTCCTTTATCATAAACAATATCATCACTATTTATTTTAATATTATTTCATTAAATCGTTGATGATATGCAATATGCAATCATAAATGTGAGTGTAATGAATGAGGAAGGAAATGTTGAAATTAAATTTATCAGAAAAAAAGTCAAATTACTGAAAAATCCGTCAGAATATTCGAGAAAATTAATCAGTTAATTAGACTGACATGAAAGTATTACATCCTAACTTGAATTAAATAGTCATTAGTATATCTTTGATTCTCATTTTCAGAAAGTCACTGTTAAATATGCATGCCAAAATATCAAAATAAAATATTATAATTTTAGAATGTGTAAATAAATACAGTTTACACTAACACTAACATAACCACTCTTCGATCCAAGTCTGCATGGTGTTATTAGTGAGATATGAAAAAAAATGAAATGAATAATATGAAATGCGCTAATGTCTTACTGAACATCATGTAAATGAAATGAACAATGTAAGATGCGCTAATGTCTTACTGAACATCATGTAAATGGAATGAATAATGTAAGATGCGCTAATGTCTTACTGAACATCATGTAAATGAAACTCCAATACATTCTGTTACTCTTAAACATAATGTAATTATACATAAATACATTTCGAATTCATTATTTTCATTTCCTGTTTGAGAGGAAAAGTATAAATGAATGAATAAATGAATGAATGAATAAATGAATGAATGAATGAATGAATGAACGAATAGAATGAATGAATGAAGTACAAGAAGCCAAGGAACGGCTATTTTTTAAAATGCTTCCTTATCAAAGACGAACGTTTTAGAAAAAAAAATCTTTCCTTGTCAGCTGCACTAAACTATCATTTATGATAAAAAACGCTTCACACTAACAAATGTTTATCAGTTTAATCAGTGGGAGGGGGAAGGTATATAACAACTGATAATCAAAATAAATTATTCCGCAAATTTTATAGAATTTAAAGGAACGAATTCTTCCTTTTTTTTTGAAAAAATATGATGATTGTGAAAATTTTTATCACAAAAATGGATTTATCATCAAAATAAATTCGAGAAGTGAAAAAACATGTATACAATTAATTATTGCTTAATTAAATATCCATAGTTATCGTTAAATTGTTATCGCAATACCATCACTATAATTAATTAGTAATTATTATCAATATTATTACCTATAACTACCTTTGAAGCATACCCCGAAATTCATTCAACTGTTGATAACTGTTGATACAACTATCATAGTTAATCACATCACTATCACTAATTGCTATTACTATTATTTGATTTGTTAATTAGCATCGCTTTTCCATCATAATTACTGTTTAAAATTAACAAACGAACAAACAAGCAATAATGATAAGAAGTGATTCGATCTCTGAACATTGGTCAGTTAAGGTGAGTGAATAAATAAGACTAGTCCTCGAAGTTTTATTTTAGGGTTGGATCATGAGGTAGTTTGAAATTCCTGAACTACTCGGCTATGACTTGTCATGGTCATGCAGGTGACAATGTAGAATTGTCTTTCCTTTTGTCTTCACATCTATTATTCTCTTTTCCATGTAATTTTTATGTTTTGTTAAAAAATATATCACCGATGATAATGATAACACAGAAACAGAGCAATAGATAGAAAGAAATCTCACTCCGAAACAATTGAACCATACCATTCTTCCGATCCGATAGTTGAGATTAGCAAAGAGAAGTGGGAAAAATGAAGTAAGCACAAAAGGACTAATTTTCATTCATTAATCTTTTAAAATTACATCATTCAAAGTATTTCAAATTTTTTAACTTTAGAAAGTTTTTCTTTTCTTTTCCAAACTCCTTAATATATATTGTAAACAAAACAATTTCAATCATCCACGCCTATATTGTAAAAAAATGAAAAGAATATTTGCAAACAATTATTTTACTAATAAATACGTAAGGGAATTGTCAAAAACCCTTTTGAGTATCAAAGATCTGATGACACTAAAGTAAGCAGCACCAATATCTACAAGTTCAACTGCGACATTTTAATGCTACCTTTACAAGTATTGGATGGATTACTTTAGCTAATTATATATTTCACTTACTGATTATTTATCATCCATGTATGGAAGACAGTAAGCTGTTATTCTCACGTGTGAGCGAAAGGAATCGGAAATGAATTGTATAAACTAAGTATAAAACTACCCAAAGCATACATTATCAACTAAGTATTCAGCTGCGTGATATACGTGTAGCAAGCGTGCAATGAAATCTCAAATCTATTCCGCTTGATGAGACGAAATAGTTCGTGAAGCAGTTCACGTGACACGTATCTTGTACAAAGAGATAATTATCTAAAATATTTCTAGACCTCACGACAAGGAAGGAGTGAAATTATGCTACGAGAATAGTATGATGGCACTAATTATTGCTTATTGTCCAAGTATTTAATGTTTATTGTATGATTACAATAGTCTTATTGTATGACTAAAACAAACAAATACGAAAAAAAAAAGCACAAAAAAACTTGGTTTGGTTTCTAAAATCGATAATTTAGATTTTCAAGTTAAGCTTAAAAAAAAACGCACTCCTCCCATTCTCCTCTCATCCCTTTTGAGTCTATTCTCTCCTCTCCTATCGTCTTTCCCACGTCCCATCCATTCCTAAATACCAAAAGCAGTAATGCTACATCGCGACACGTGTTCATTACAATGTCACCCCTTTACTGTAAACATTAAATTTTTTTAACAAACACATACACACACACTCACATACACACACAGACTTACATACACATATATGTACACATACGCACAAACATATACACATACACACACATACACGCACACATACATAGACATACACATATACAAGATATACACCAATATATGTACGCATACAGTCATATACCACACGTACGGAGAAACATAATCACACACATTACTACAAGTCTAATACACTGGAGGGGAGAAATCCGGATCATTCCCGAACCATTTCCTGATCTGTTCCTCCTCTCCTTCTCTAACATGCAATAACTATCAATAATTTCCGGAAATTCGTACATATTCAAATTTGAAAATGTAGCTTTGAATGGAAGAAAGGAAATTTGTGTATTGCTATTTTCAGTAAAACAGTAAACAATAAAACAAAGTTTCATCGAGCATTTAAGTCTGAGATATGCGAAAATGCGAGTAGATGTAGTGGGAAAAGACGGGAAAGGACCGGGAATTTTTTATAATAAAATGATGAAGTATATGGGAAAAGTAAAAGTATTTTGAAGTAACCGCTGTCGGATCTTTTCTATGGGAGTGCAACAGAGTATCTTCTCCTCTAATACTGCAGCTGCAACAGCGGCAGGATAATTAATTCTCGAAAAAAAAGGCCATTGCTCATCAGGCCTAATGCTTACATGTCCCTTTAGGCCCTAGCATTAGAGTAGATATCAATCTTGCAAACCAACATACATTTGCTTCTTTCTAAAATAAATTTATTGATATCAAATTTGCAATGACACAGAATGATAACAATCAAAAAGATAGCACTGAAATCAATAATGATGACAATTATGATATTGATAACTCAGGTTTGACTAATTTCAAAAGGTCAACTGGAGTAATGACCTCATATTCTAATGACAATTATAACCTCATTTTGTTTATTTCTTTTGTTTTCTGTTGTTCCTTTCACACTTTCTTTTTATTTTCATCAGAAAATACTCGAAAAATTCTTGATCCTGCGGTAAAGGACGAATTCAATTGATTAAATTTTGAAGCTAGCTTTTGTTTCAGGTCGTTTTTTGATGGTATATTTTATCGCAAAAAGTGATAATAACAATATTAAGTGATATCAGTGATTATGATACCTTAGTGATAACAATATTAAGAGGAGCAATATTATTAAGAAAATTGAATTGTGGTAGCAATGGTCATAATAGTAACAAAAAGTACAAAAAAGTTAGGGGACAGTAATAACTAAGTTTAAAATGATGAAGAGTGATAATAAATGAATTTATGGTTACATTAACTAAAAAAGAAGTTTCCATAACTAAATATGTGACAGGAGTCTATCAGGATTTAATCTAAGATAAAAGCTTATTAAAAGGACACTATTATCATCCGTAATTCCAGTCAAACGAGATAATTTCTTTTCAAAATGAATTTGTTTGACGGAAATAAAATTTGCTGTCAACTTCTATGAATTATTTTTTTAAGCTGAATATTTTTTGGCGTGATACGGTACTGATGATGTAGTGAGAATGGACAAATTTAAGATATTTGAAGCGACTTAACGACTACTTATACTCATCGATTTAACAAATCGACGAGTAAACAAAAAATTCCTAAAAATTTAAGCAAAATACCAATTTTTTATTTCAAGCTTAACAGAGAACTAATTTCTATCTGAGAATAAGATGACAAGATTTAAAATGACATTTTTGGTGGTATAGTGATAAGGCATAATGTAAAGTGATATAAAGATTCAAAATGTTATTGATAAGTTGAAAATAATTTGTAAAAGCATAAAAGATTATGATTAATCGTTTTTCTAGAGAATACTATATGGAGAATGCAAAGAGCAAATGATTAACAGTTAGTGGGTGATAAGAAGAAAAAAAAAGATGGTCCAAAAAATTTATCTTTTTTATTTATTTCAAATTTAAAGGAAGTAAATAGGGAAGATAACGCAGTAATTCTGATTAGAGTCAAAGAAATATCTGATTATATCGATTAGGCGTTATCTTATCATCAACGTACTCCTGATAACGAATGAAACTTAGAATTATGTGGTGTTTCTAAAACAAAGGGAAGAAAAAGGATTAAATTTCCTTTTGTCGAAGTATTGTTTCAAAAAAAAAAAAAGACGAAACGGCGACACGATCCAAAAGATTGACAATGCTATAAAATATGCAAATATTATGAATGTAAAGAAGAATTGCTTCAGTAAAATGCCTGAATAGTAATAAAAATACGAAGATAATAGAGTGGGAAGCGTTAATTAAAAGCATTAATTAAAGTTTTTTTTTTTTGGAATAATATGAAAGAGAGAAAGAGAGGGAGAGTGAGATGATTGAGGGAATAAAAGAAAGAACAATAAAAAATTTTGCTAAATTTGAATTACCGATTGAATATTTCTAAATATAAACAAAATCAGATCAGGAAAGTTGCATCATTAGTATCATTATAAAAGCAGGTAATAGAGTATTCAAATAATAATTGATAACTCATTAGATGAATTTATTCTTAACAATTTTTTCCCTTTCCATTTTTTTTTTTCTAAGCTCGAAAAATATCGTAAAACATAATTTAATATATCAATATATTGTCAATTAGTGCCCCACACATTGTATACATAAATTATTCATTTAGTAAACAGTTACAAAGAAGAAAAATAAACAAACAAACAATTTGATATATTTCTAAATTGATAATTATCTCTTTGTCATTTATCAGTATGAAATTTTTTTCTCTGATTTTAATTCAACAAAATAATGTCAAGTATTTTCATTTAATTACACAATTACTTAATTAACCATGGCTAAAAATTCATTTTAATGTTCAAATTGAAAGCTTATGATGACTTATTTTTTGGATTTTGTTGAATTTCAATTTCACATAATTAAATATTCATTTCATTATAATTGCAAAGTAATTGAATTTAGACTGAATGGCTTTAGATAAGAGTAACATTAGAACTTGAATATTTCCAGAAGATTATACTTAGCCATTATTTGTTACATACACCAGGCTCTTTTAGAAATGCTTAAAGAGAAATTCAAAATTAAGCCAAGTATTAACAATTGATAAATTTTGATCTTGCAGTGTATGAAAAAGAGAAAATAGGCGAAAAACATGAATTTTGTATGAAATTTAATTAAATTAATCAAGTAGTTGAAATCAAAGAATGGATCAGTAATACGAGATACATTATGTTGGAAAGGATAAAGGATCGATTCATAAATCTTAAACAGCTTTTGTTCAGTAATTCAATTCTTCTCATCATTAATTCCATTTCCAATATTTATTCATTTAGTTTTTCATATTCATTCATTTCCATTCATTTCATTAATTCTCAAATTAAAAAAAAAGGAACAATCGATAAATTATAATTATTGAAAAATAGAAAAGGAAAAGCAAAATGGGATGATTTATATGAAAATGAATGCATCAGGTTATGCGACCATACATTCAACATTTGTATATTTTATTATTCACATAGGAAGTGCTCCCTCTAGCGGGAAACTTTATTTGTGATCAACCTGAATATGAGCCTATTCTCCCATCTCTTCGGAATAATTGAAAATAGTAAATTGCAACTAATGCATTGGATTTAATGTAGAAGATAAAAAGATATGACAGTAAATGATCAAAGTGATAGTCTCAGTAACACGGAGAAATAATCATCCGAAACGGATCTAAACTGCCTATTCCATTTTCAAGTTTTAACACCATAATCTTAATTATCATCTGTTCAATAAATTACTCCCTCATCATTTTCCATTAGAAAACATTTCTTATCATAGTTATCATCAAATGACTGATTATAAAACATAGTATCATTGTAGGAATTATGTAACAAATGATAGTAAGAATTGAATATGATATTTGCATATTTTTCATGTTAGAAGAATGCAATGATAAAAGATGACACTTTTTTCAAATAATCAATAAGAATTTTATATCTTTTAAGCAATGAAATTGAAAGAAATAAAATTGGAAATTTCTGAGAGCATTTTATGATGCAAAAAATAATGAATAAATAAACGTTTTGTTAAACATTTCCATTAAAGTTCTTATCAGAAATAGCAAATGGATGAAAATTTGAGTTGCAATGTTAAAATTTGTGAACAAAAAGAAACTTTGCTATTACATTTGCACTTCCTAAAAACAATGTACACATCAACTGGTTCAATTCATGTGTCATCATTTCATTTGACAAGTTATGTTCTATGATCATTAATTAATCTGAAGTATTTTTCATTCAAATAACTAACTGGATTTAATCTTTTTTTTCATACAAAATATTTTAGTTCAGAAAACAATGCGATAATTTAATAATTGTGAATAAATAATTTAATAATCAATAATGATTTATTTTTAAAGCATATTTTAGCATAACTGTTGTATAATTATTGTGTCACTAAGAATTCAATAAATGACAAATCAATCTTTTCACATATCTGTACATAAATAAAAAAACTCGCTGTGACTTTTGCTTCTTCTTATAATTCTGACAATAGTGCCATGTTTACTTTCAACTTTTAACAGCACTATTAGTTCGTAATTTCAGTTATATTTCTCTAATTTCGGTTATAATTTCAGTTATATTTCTTCTATTTCCAAGCAAAACAAAAAATGTATTGATAACCAATGTAACCATTCAACAATTCTGATTCAATCCATTCGATTTTTAGTAAGCAGTGGGATAACAAATTAATATGTAACACTTCCTTTTGGTTTGACTAAAGCTTTCTGGAATGTATTTCCTTTTAATCTGACTAAAGCCTCCGGGAATGTATTTCGTCCTCTCTTCTGATTTCTTCGGAACAAATGCCTGGACAAGACAGTCATCTTTACACCTCTTACAAACGTAAATAAGGATTAAATATAAATAAGGATATGTCGGAATTGTCGAATTTGGGATTCAAATTTTCATTAGCTGCCTTTAACTTGGAACTCGCATTCTGACGGTTGTGACGTTTTTGAAGCTTTTGAATTCTCTTCGAGTTGGCATGTGGAAGTAGATTTTGGGTCGAGTGGTACTTTCTATATGTTTCAGGTTGAGTGCTTTTCCAAATGACAGGACATAGGAAGCAATTTGGTGCACGTTACTTGAATGACGAGTCGGAAGTATTTAAGCACAATGCGTGGGATAATGTGGAATGGAAATTGGAACAAGAAGAAGAAGCACGTAATCAGATAGCTATTCAAAAAGAGTCACCTGTTGCATCCCAGGAAGCTGAATATCTGTTACAGAATCCTGCTGAACAGTGGAACACATTCTACCATATACACAGGGACAAGTTTTTTATGGACCGTAATTGGCTACTAACCGAGTTTCCAGAATTGAATGTTGAATGTCGAGTAAGTTAATACTTCAGACTTATGTAGGTTGCTTCACCATTTAATGACGTTCGGTTAGAAATAAATCAATTAGGGTTGAATTAATTTGTATTAATTGAGGCCGAATAATTTTATTTATAGTTTAACCGGTTACTGTCATGGGCGAGAAAGTAAATTGTGAAACATGCATGAAATAAAAAAAAAATGATGCGAGCACTTAAAGTGGCGTTTTTTCCTTTTTAAAACAGTGTTTGACGTTAAAACCTACATTTCACAACAACGAAATAACAAATAGTCGTAAAAAATAGGTGTATTTTTGCGAGAGAGTATAAGCTCATAATGATGTTAAGATGACTTTCTTTACTGTTAGAGTGAGGTGAGAAAGTGAAAGGGAGTGTTAAAAGGGTCGCTTTTACTTTTCAAATTTTATCGTTCAGTTATTCTGCGAATCTATCCGTTGTTCGTTATTGCAGGGATCGGATGATCCACTTCATGTTTTGGATGTTGGATGTGGTGTCGGCAATGCCACTATACCATTGCTGCAAGCATCTGAGCGATCTGGAAAAATGTTTGTTTACGCCTGCGATTATTCACAGCAGGCTGTGGATATTTTGAGGCAGGAGACGGTACAGTGGTGCGACAGGTGTAAACCGTTTGTATGGGATATTACAGGACAGATAACGGAAGTTGTACCTTCGGGTTCCCTCGACATACTTCTTTGTATTTATGTACTCTCGGCAATTCCGCCAAAAAGACAGCAGCAGGCAGTTGACAACTTAGTCAGGTGAGCTGGGACATTACAAGACCGGTCCTTTTTTCTATCGTCTTTTACAGTACTTTAAGCGGAAATAACATCTATTCCTGATTTATGTAGCATGCATCCTGAGATTTAAAGAGTCATACATCGGAAATTTCTACCGCTTTATGTTTCTCATTAAAGTAGCAAAATCCGTTTTGTTCAAGTCTAATTGTTGTATTTTATATTAAATATTAAATATTTAATAATACATTCTACTACACATAGTACATCAGGTTGCGAAGCTTTTTAAGGTATTTAGATTATTTAGGATGCCGATAACTTTTTTGTGGTACTAATTTCGACCAAAGATAAAAATATTTGGAATGATTTTCAGTTTACTGAAACCAGGTGGTATTTTACTGTTGAAAGATTACGCACAGCTTGATATGACGCAATTGAGGTTCAAGAAGAATCGTTTGATAGATGAGAATTTTTATCGTCGCGGTGATGGAACCCTGGTTTATTTCTTCGGTCAAGATGAACTGGATAGGTTGTTTACTGAAGTCGGTTTAGAAAAAGAAACTAATGTTTTGGATCGACGGTTAATAGTAAATAGAGCTAAACGAATGAAAATGTACCGCATGTGGGTGCAATGTAAATATATCAAAAGTGCTTTATTATGATTTGATTTGTGTAATAAATAAAATATAAATATGTTCTTCATTTGCAAGATTAGGTTGTTTTTGTTATTTGCAAGATTAGATTACTTTTGAAGTTTCATACGGGGTTCTATCAAGTACGATCCGAAATTAATCATGCATTAATTTCCGGATCACACTGATTGACTCGACTGAATATTATGAGGGGGATTACGTTACTGAGGTGATTACTAATTATAGTAATGAATTTCTTTATAAGTAAGGCAGTAAATTTTGATACACTTCATATTTCTCAATACGTGTTGTCCTTTTCTCTTTTCAAATAAAAAGGATCATCGAAATACTGAGCTTTTTATCTGCCGTTCCGCTCTGTAACGTCATCTATGAATAACCGGTGCGGTCGTTTGTCTATCGACCCACTTTACCAGCTCTTCTTAGTGATGGATCAGTGAGGGCCGTAAACTGGAAGAGAAAGAAGGAAACAATTTAGGTGGAGGATATAGAGGATATACAATGCAACATTAGGGGTACGATGGAATTAAGTGATGGCTGAAATTTTGAAATGTTTCGCCCTTTTTGCTGACTTCATTGATTTGTGTATGTTGGAAGCGTAATGAAGTATCAATTTAAAAGCAAGCTATAGAAGAATTCCCGTATTATCCAATAAAAGCCAAATATTCCAATATGCATTCTAATCAGTTCGTGAACTAAGCACTAAGCAACGTATCAATACGTTCGGTCTTCCATGGGAAATGCATAGTTTGACATCGTTCAAAATGTGACCCGAAGATAGGGCTTGCTAGTAACGATACAAGCTGAAGAGAGGTCATGTAACATTTTTAAAGGAGATATTACATTAGATTAATAGCGATGGTTTTAAATAAGGACAATCAATCGTTACAAAATGGATCGTTCAAGCGATCAGGATGAGATTCGAACTCACGCGGGGAAACCCCAATGGATTAGCAGTCCATCGCCTTAACCACTCGGCCACCTGATCAACACACAACAATGGGAATAAGTTTTTAGGAATAAATGTTTAACGGAATTATTATTGGTATTTACTTATTGACTAGCTTGACCTGTTAACATAACGCTATCTCCTAACTTGACCTATCAACATAACACTGTCTAATTTTCCAAGATTTTTCATTGAGACTTCCCGATCAAAGCTTCAGACATATATATCGTTGGTTGTTTGTTCGGTATGTTTTATACGCTTTAAATATCACCAATATTTATTCGGGAATTCTTCATTTTCATCTATTTTTTAACTCATTTCTTTGAGCTTTTACAACTTACATGCACATTCAACGAGTAATTTTGATGCAGCATTGACTGGAAGATATCTTTTTTGGAATCCAGTTTATTGATTCCCGCAAAAAAGCTTGACGTTATTTGCTATTCCTATTGATGGCCTTGAGAGTAGCAGAAATTGAAAAGTTAATATAAAATAAGTTTGGAGTAACGTTTTTACCAAACTTGAAAATCGATCGATTGGATTTCAATTTTGTTTATTTGTCAAGGGGAAAATGTTTAAATTTCACTCCCTTCCCATTCTTCATTCCATCTCATTGTTATACATAAAAGTAATTAACCATTGATCAAAACTTTAAAACAGCAGAAATTTCTGATATATTTTGCTAATAACAACAATCATTTCCAAATTTTGATAGCTTTTTTTTTCATTAATATGTTTAATTTGATTGATGGTTTGCTTTTATCCATTGTATAATTAGTGATTTCATTGCAACAGATATCATTTATCACTTTTATCGAGTAATATTTCTCCTTGTCACAGCGGATATTACATATCACTACTCATCAGTGGAAGACATTTTCCTACAAATGAATCACCTGGCTGTTTTTGCTAGGCTATTATATTATACTGTTTTCCTGCTAATTTTGGCCAATTTCCTATAATTTATTCTGGAAGCAGTTGGCAATATCTTCCTAATACATTTCAGGTTTCTAGAATTTTATTCTTTATAAATACAATGACAAACAGAATTTCATAGCAAAAGTAGTGCATGTAAAACTTTGAGAGAACGAAATTATTCTTTGCAAGTTTAACCAATTACGAATTGTCTGTCTTCTATCGATTTCAAAACTTTATAGTAAAATTACAGTAACGGTGATATTAATAAAATCAACTTTATGGTTTAATCCTTCCGCACTAATTTGTGCTAATCTTTCAAACGGTAACATGGAATGTCCACTCATTTTGTCAACATATCCTTTCTCTTGGATTCAAAGGTTTTATTTAAATTTTGGTTTTTATTTCTAGTATATTTATGGAATGTTCCAAACAAGAATAAAAAAGTTGTATTTTATAAAATTCTCATGGATTATTTGTGACAAAAAAAAAATCGATCGATCAATTTTTCTTTTTTCTTTTCGTGTGTGTGTAGCCATCGAACTTCTGTGTAATGATTCTGTTTTGAAAATAGATTTAACGGGAAGGATAAAAAAACTTAAAAGTACCCACCAATAGTCAAGAGGAAATGTGTGTATTCATGGGAAAGTTTCTGTCCAATATTTTAGTCCTTCCTGGAATGACCGTTAAATGGTCAATCGTCAAATGGAATATTTGTTTGTTCATTTAATAATCTGGTTTAATTATCTACTACTTAATCATTTGATCATTTAATTTTTAATGAGTATTTTTGATTATATCGCTAAAATCCATTATCGTTTCTGATTTAATAAAGTATCTGTTAACTACTAGTTTTGAATTTTACCTGTGTCACACAAATTCCAAAAATCTTACGATATATCTCATTTGGGATATATACGGAAGTGATATGCGAATAATCGATAATCATCTAAACAAATCATTTTGGATTTGAAGATATAGCGCTTTAACTTTACATTCTGAAAATATATTCATCTTTTGCTAGATATATCAAAGAAGTAAAGTTTATTCATTGCTTAAGCTAATTTTATAAAAAGTTCTAACTGAAGAAATATGTTTGACAAACTTTATTTCTACTTTTTTTCGATAACTTAGTGAGAGATTCAAATGCTGTCACTGTCGTTGAACGTCGTTGTGACATAAATGTACGTTCATTTTGCAAAGCCACTGATAATTAAATTTTTATCAAATCTGTTTGTCAAAACAACAATTTCGAAATTACAAATTTTTTTTCCCTTTTACAAAAATAGTAAAATATTGGGTGATGTCAAATTGAGTGGACTGGGTATTGCATTACTTGCGCTTAAGCATGCATTTTTATAAATTTACGAAACTACAGAAATTATGGAATAATTAATCATATCGTTGTAATGACATAAGACGGAATTGACGTGTAAATATAATTAAAGTTGAAGTAATTCCTCTAGAAAAATCTAACCGAGTTCGAATGAAAAGCTCAAAAAGTACAGATTTCTAGAAGATTTAAAGAAACTAGAAAGATCTTGCCGAATGAAATGAAGGAATAAAGGAATGAATGAGATCACAGGAAGTATAGATTCCGGAAAGTGAAAAATACTGAATAGCTAAAGGTGGTAAGTTATTCAATTTGGGAAGGAGTGGAAAATTAACAATCCTGAAGATTTATACTTTATAATCGAAATGTAGTCGATGAAGAAGTGCTGTTTGCTGAGAAGGAAAATTGTTAATTAGTAAAGACCATTAAGTTAAGCGGGATAAGAAAAATTGCATCATTAAAGAGATTTGTAATTGCTGAGAGAGATTACAACTTGATAGAAATTCAAACTTATGTTTACTTGAAATACAATTAAACGGAAAAGTAATTAATTAATTAAAATGAAAAAAATTGGAATTAATGTTGCGAAAAAATTACATGAATTGTGTTATATGCAAAAGGAGGAATTATTTGATTAAAATAGCCAATTTCTTGCAAGACAAATCACATTTTTAATTTTGAATCTTTTTTTGATTAAATTGCTTGTGAAATGTGTTTAAAAGTCTAAAATAATTTTTGTTTTTTTGGACGATGTCAAATTATAGCGTTTTTTTAACAAAATTGAGGGGTGTTTAATGTGAATTAGAGAAAGAAGAAAATAAATAAGAATTAAGGGAAATAGTTCGAACTCAGATAGATTAAAATTAGAGAATCATTCCATTTAGAATAGATAGATATAATTAAGGATTGAAGAATTGATGGATACGAAGTGATATATTGAACAATAGGAAGAGGAAAAGGGAAATAATTATTCAATGATATAATATGTTTTGTATAAATATTGCGGGATCTGTATCCTTGTAGTGTATTTGAAAATAAGATAATGAGCGAAAACAAGCAACCTGTGACAGAAATTAAATTCAAAAAATTTAAAACATCAATTTCTCATTGGATTGAACCGACAACAACTTATGTGAAATATCTAAAGGAAATTTGAAAGGTTTAAAGTATTAACTGCTTATTGAACTTTAACTCATAACTTACCCTTATCGAAACTTACATGAGCAGAAGTATTTAAAGTGAAATTATCTGCCACATGAAATTTCTCTTTTCACTTTTACTCAATTAAATTTATGGCAGTAGGCTTTTCATTTCATTCTAGAAATTTCAAACCGGTAAAAATCCGCGGTGAAAACGAACAAACATAGCCTTATGATTTAGAATTTTTACTGAAATAAGTGATAAGAAAGATGAAAAGTAAGCAAGTAATAGCTAATATAATACCAAACATGATGATAAGTAAAATATCATGTGATGATATACAGAAAGTACCATTAGACCAGTGTTGCTGATGTAATGGTGTTATTGATTGACCGATTGTCAATGGTAATAAATGCTTAGCTGCTAAGCTCGGATCCTAAAATTTGGTGTCATATATGAGTTGACAGTGTTTCATGGAAGGCACAATTTAGAATGTTTGACGATAAACGGCAAATTTGATATATGAAATATGCTTTTCATGCTATCAAATTGTTTTAAACCGGTTAAACAAACCTCTTCGCTAATATCAATCGCGCTAAAACCGACACTAACATCCACTGTGTTGTCGTAATTAATAGATCGTTTCTTGAGCAATCGTAATGTTCGAGGAGAAAGCGGGGAAGCTTCTGGTGCTGGTGCAGCAGCAGACTTTACAGCACCAAATCCTTGTGGTTCTGAACATTGTGGTCGTGGACAATTGCTATTTGGTTCTTTAATTGTTATGCTAATTTGACATTGGTAATAAAGCTCTGATCGATCCGCATACTTATAAACATGAGCCTCTTGTCCAGCCATTAAATCTGTAAAATGGATAAATCTCCAATGAAACATCTAATTTGAAATATTATGAAATGTCTAAAATATTCTATCCATTATTTTTACCTGTAGGATATTCCAGATTGTTGAGTAAATACCTATCCAAAGCACAACCATCTTCATTCAGAATTTCCACTGTATCTCCTTTTCCATCATCCACTACACAGGAATGTACTAGTGCACAGAATGTATCTGTAGTTTCCGAATCACAAGTCCATTTATGGTACACATGATCTCCGATCATTGCGTATCGGACAGGTGTACCAGATGGTCCACCTTCCAGAATCTTTAAAACATAGTTTGAGTTGACCAAGCGAAACTTGAAATAACTTCCTTTTTTAAAAACTGCAAATTGTTTTTTCAATATTACCTTCAAGAATTGTATTTTGTCAAATTTCAAACCTCATATCGACATATAGGCATTGGTACCACTTGTGTCTGGAATACTGTAGTCATCTCGGACACTTCAATCTGTGAACTAACAGTCTTGTCAGCTTCCATGTAAAAACATTGTATGCGATATGCTCGATCTACTTTAGTAATGAATTTCGGATGAAATGTAATGACAACTACAGCTGTGACAAAGACACCTCGAGGATTTAAGGACCGTGATCGTTCAACATTACACGAATCAAGCGGTAATTCGATCCCAGCTACCTGAAAATACAAATACATCCAAGCTCTAAGATATCAGTATGCAATACTATCTGATAAATTAAGCTACTATCAATCATTCAGTCATATTTAACTTTTATCACTAGCTTTTGTCAATTTCGCGCACATTTCTCAAAATAAACTTTAACTTAATCAGCTTTTTGGAAGAAGAAAACATCAATTAAATAAAATAAAACGAAATACAGCAATTTTTTCTTATCACTAAACCAAAAAATCATATGGTGTTTCAACTACCAATCACTAAATCAATCATAATTTTCAGTCAGAAAACATGGCCTCTAACCCTTATTACTGTTGAATAGTTAAAAACAAAATGCGAACCAAAAATTGCAGCTGTTTCCCTAAATAAGAAAAATAAAGATAATGGTAATAGTAAAAACAATCATGGTACAGGCAATCCTGATTAAAATCATATTCTGGAGAAGAGTAATGGTGATTTTGATAGCAATTTAAATGATAATAATGATAACGAAACTATAATGATCAATATGCATTCTTTATTTTATTCTATTACTTAAAAATTTAGACCAAAAAAAGAGCTGACGACAATTCAATATCATAGATTACAGTGAGAAAAAATAATTAAATTCAGTTTGAATAAAAAAATAAAGATAATGGTACAGGTAATCCTGATGAAGTTTATATTCTGAAGGCAGGCATTGTTAATGAAAATTAATTAATGAATCTCAATTAAAATTGTCTCTAGACTGCTCATAAATTGAGATTACAATTTACAGTATTTACAAATAGGTAATAGAAAAATGAATCCATCAAGGCAATCATTAATTAGCAAAATTATAATGAAATGGAAATTCTTTGGGATTAGAAAATCCTTAGCTCATAAAAATTTCATTAAAATTTGAGGAAAAAATAGAGTCAAACCTGTCGTCCACTACTATCTGAACGACATTCTTCGTGATCATAGAGTCCTTTCACGTATACATGTCCTTCAAACTTATTCCTAGTGTTGAAATTAACTGTTAAGGTAGCAGCGCCACATTCTATTTCAGGTTCACCTTCAACACCATTGTCAATAGGAATCGCCGATATGTTACTCAAGTGAAAAAGTAAGGACAGCAAGGAGAACAGTGATAATGGCGTGCGTGTTATTACTACTGATGTCATTATCAGTGGTAACAGTGGTGATAATTTCAACAGTGATGGTTATCAGTATCAGTAGAAGAAGTAACACTGATAGAATATCTTGATGTTGTGTGTGTTAGCAGCAATTGAATAGTATTAAGTGCATACAGTAATGTTAGATGCTATTATCTTTATACTTCCGAAGTAATGGAAGTAATAGTAATAGTAATAATAGTAGTAATAGTAATAATAACGATAATAATAATAATAATAATAATAATAATAATGATAATATACGCGGTTCTCGTAGTAGTATCAGATTAAATAGACAACAAATGGTGATCACATTTGAAGTTCCTTTTTATATAAGCGTTGAATGCACTCTGTACACTATGATGAGCACCAAGATCTCCCGATTTTCCTTTTTCAATAGATCATAGCAACGGAGGTCATCGTCATCCTGTTTTTGGAAATACAGGTGGATAAAAGGAAGAAGTTCCGATGCAATCATTCTTCTCAATCCCTAATAAAAGGCGGAGTTTTAGGGATAGAAGAATGGGGGGAAAAGGTTGCTAGAGAGGTTGGATGGAATGAAGGAAAAGAGAAAGGAGTTCTTGAACTGGATATACCAAAATCAGGATTCCAAACTTTGTCAAATTCTGAGAAAGGAAATTGGAAAAGATGATGGCATTGTCATCATTCTAACAATAATGACAGAAAAATTTTATCAATTTACAACGAAATACGCATTAATTTATATCAAATTATCAATTTCGGACTTAGAAAACAATTTCCTTTCCTTTCTACTGTGCCGATCCGGAAGGTCAGATGCTTATTTGGAAAAGATAGTTGCAAAGAAAGAGGATAAGAAGATAAGAGAATTTGTCAAAAGATTTGATTTGAATTTTGCGGGATTTGGAGCGAGTGGAAAGAGAAAGTAAGTAAATGGATGATCTCTTTCAGGTCACCTGAACTATAAATAAAGCACTATACTGTCACTTTCTCTTCTCACATTCAATGCTTCCATCTTTCCATTTAACTATCAATAAACTTTTCATTTACTCATCGATAATTTGTATGAAATTTGAAATTAAAGAATCCTTTCGATGAAAATTTAATTGAAACTTCTCCGCTGAATGGAGTAAACAAAGGGCTTTAATAGCTGCCATGTGACCTTTCTTTTGAAAATATTGACTTCATTGTAAGCTATTAGCAAAGTGATTTGCTGAATGACTGTTACATTGGTTGATCGAATGGCACATTAGTCCTAATATCCCATTTTAATATTATCTGTCAACTGAGTTTCAAATTTCATTCATTTGAAAAATAGATTTAGAATCAATTGGAATAAAATTTTTAGCTTCAAATTATTCTTTTAAACTGAGTAAACACACAATCATCCATAGCATCTATAGCACTTAAAATTCAAATAATTTATTGTACTACTACTTGTCACCAAATTAATTTCAATTGATTCCTTCGTCAGTTGCCAAAATTTGAATGAATTGCGAATAATTAGCAATTAAAGTGAATTAAAATGAATTTTATTAGCAGTTAAAATGGATCATTCCCTAACAATTTCATTATTTAAATATAAATTCATTGCAACAGTCTTATTTGTGCTTTTCTTGAATTCAGAAAAATTATCAATCAATTTTTGTTATCAATGCAGTTCAGGATCAGTTCAAAAAGCTACATATCATTTTCCAATTATTGCGTTTACCTTGATCGATTAATTTTTTCATTTTTCATTTTTTTTTTTTGTTTTGTTTTGCATAATGTATTTATCATCTTCATATGATTGCTTTTTCAAATTCTGATAGAATAATTTATGTTGAAATAGATCAATTGAATTTAGTGATCAAAAATGAAATAACTTGTAACAAGAAATTTATTGTAAATCAAAAATTGAACGTTTGAAGTTTGTTTCAGTATCTGGGAGATGAAATTAATTAAATTAATGTTATACAATCAATTCTCTGTCCCAATTCAAATCCTTTCTACTTCATCCCATTTCCATTGCACACCTACAAAATATTACATGTTTTTTCGAATCAATCGTGAAAATTTCCTTTCCTTGGATCCATATCATATCACCACTTCGCCATTCTGTTGAATTATAGAAGTGACAGTTTGATTGGATATCATAAATAACCTAGGAAAAGGATATGTTATCATATAGTTTATCGTTTGCATATTCATGCATGTTCTTAAAGATTGTTCAATTAAACTTTAAAATGACGGTAATAGTAATAGACATTGATGACAGAAGAGGCGGAGAAATGTCCAATAAAAGAGATCCTAAAATAATTATGGTACCTGGGCTGTAATAGAGAAAGGATGTAATACTTCGTCTCTGTGCATTTATAAAAATTCGATTACTAACTGGTACTTTCTTAAAATTTTGGGAAAATTTTGTCGAACTTACAATTTGTGATGTTTCATAGGCTTAGGCTAATAGCAATAACTCAACTTAAGTTCAGAAATCATTGAGTAACACTAATAAGTTAAGTCTTAATTTAAAAATTCTTTTTCGACAATTTCAGTTCTTCTTTAGCAGTGATTTTTGATCTCTGGATAATCGATATTTGCAAATTATCGCGATTTTTTCCAGTGTTCTAATAACGCCAATAATGCTAGCTAATATTTCACAGAGAATAATTTAAACTAAGGATGTGTTTTGATTTACTGTCAAAATACATTCTAAAACTTTTCCTTTTTTTTTAAATTCACAGTGATAAGTTAGCAAAATTTTATAAATAATTTTCGAAATCAAGGAAAGTTGAAAGTTTCCTGAAAGGAAACTATTTAGGATGGATGATGAAGAAAGCATTGTAACTGATTTTCTTGTTGTTATTCAGCAAATTCAAATTTGTAAAAGTGTAAGGAATTGTGATTAAAATTAAAATGAAAATGTTTTCACCTAAATTATCGTCAACTGCCCATAGCAAAAGGTAACAAATGAAAATGACCAATAGTAACCATCTCTATCTCTCCAGTTTATCCTATTATCATTTCACCTTTCACTATTGCTTCTTTTTCATCCACTTAGAAAACTCGTATATTTTGAAAACTAAACTTTTTTTTTTGTCATAAAACTTATCACAAACGACGAACTGAAAAGATTTCTGTTTCGAATGTTTCTTGTTCGATATTATTTTTTCTGAACAATGATAAAAAATTTGATACAAAAAAGATTTTCGTTTTCGTTTTCTTTTTTTCTTTCTTCTGAAAGAAATACCGTAAAATACTAATTTTAAATTGAAATTAATGGCAAAAAAAAATTGAAATTGTGAATTGGTGGTCGAAATAAAAATTCTCATATTTTTCCCATTTTATTTGATAGAAATATTAAAAATTATTTAAATTTAATGCATTTCATTGCGTTATCCTATAATATACAAAGTGCAAAATACACTATGTATGATAAGACTATTCTTATACTATGTATCTTTTTAATCTAATAAAGGTCAAGAGGTCTTGACTTCCAGAATTTTCCGGGAAATTTCATTATTCATTCCTTTTTCATTTGCTTGTAAATTGTACCAAGGAAATGTGATGATAAAGGAAGGAATAATAATTCTTTTCAAATATATCTTATCTATCAATTCAAATTCAACGAAGAAAAATTTGTCATAAAATGTTGCACGAATTTAAATATAAAATAAGATTTAATATTTAATGTTGTATATTAGAAAAGTTATCAAAAAGGAAATCTCAGTTCTATGATCTGTTAAATATTTCGATAATGCATTTATAAAATATATATTGACATACAAAAACAATTTCGAAACTAAATTTCTTATCAATTTATTATTATCGGAAAATAATTCATTCATTGCCTCTTTTTATTTAATAAAAAAAAGAAAAATTCAAAGTTATAAATTTTTCTGTGAGTATAAAGCAAAATTAGAATTCATTTCTCTTTTTCCTTTTGTTTGAGAAGAAATAATGATAGTAATAAAACTTTAAAATTTTTTTTTTTCGAAAACAACTCATCCCATAAAACAAAAGTCTTCTAAAATGACAAAAATTACGATTAAAAAGATAGATGAAGAAGAGGGAAAAGAAAAGCGAAAACAAAGCTATGTAAAAGATAGCAATATTGATTATTGATCGAATTATCATGATTACTAATCGATGGAATAATTTTAAAGTTAAGTTAGTAAAAATTTGTTTTAGCAAGAAAGTTACATGGATGGAAATTATTGGCTCTTTTCTTTTAAACAAAGTAAAAAAAAATCTAAATGGAAAAAATAATGAAAGACATTGGGTCAGCTAGGAAATTTCAAAATTTTTCAGGAAAATGATTATTCCGGTGATTTAGAAGTTTTTTTTTTAAATTTTATCAACCGGTAAGAAAAAAAGAATGAATTAAAGATCATAGAAATATGAAGTAAAAGATCAAGAAATAGACATATGCAAAGAAATAAAGAAACAAATAAGCAAACAATTGACTTAATTGTTCAGGTTATTTTAAGATAACTGTCATAATATTCAAAACCGGATCCGAAATCTTTACTGGAATGGAGTTGATTTGAATCGGATTACATTTACAGTATGAACCATTTGCAACATTTATACGGAATTTACAAATTTATATAATTGAAAGGAACCCTTCTTGTGCAATACTAAATATTAGCTTATAAAAAAAAAAAATGATGAAAATCATTCAACAGTGATAAAAAGTGACATAATTAATTAATAACTCTGAAAAGCATAGGTTTGTTTGGATATTTCGAGTTTCAGTTCCAGTTTTACTCAAAATTTAGTACAAAGTAATAAATTTTAGTTTTTTTTCAATGCAAAATCGAATAACTGGAATTCATTTGGCACAACAAAATTGTAACAAAAACGGGACATATGTCACCCACCGATTGTGAAAGCGTGCAAAACGGTCAGATATGTGCATAGGAGTGACCTGACCTGCATGTGACCGGCACGGTATGATATTAGCAATACAGTTCTATACATTAGAAATTTTCAAATATTACCCTTTATAAACTTACCTAAATCATATGTTTCCAATTAACCTAAATGAAACATTTCAACATAATTGCTATGTTGCAGTCATTAGATTAGGATAATTGATGGAAATTTATTCAATAATATTGAATTTTGTATTAATGAAGTACAAAACTATACAATAAACCTTATTATTAGGGCAATTATTATTGATAGTTTTATAATTTTAAAATGACTCAGATGGCATTAATTAGCACAAAAAATGAGAAATGGTTGAAATTAGATTGATAGCAAATGGATCAATCATATGAGATGAGTTTATGATAGATCTGTTCAGTGTATGATGACTGATGACAAAATGCAACTAAACAATTGGTCAACTAATATTACATTTTAATTTTAATACTTTGACCTTTGTGCGATTCTCATTCCCTTTGCTTTTCCAGCGCAATACCTGTGGTCATTTTATTTCTAATGTATGAAATCAAGAAGTACCGTCCTTCCAACAATTTTACTTTTCTTTTCATATCCGGAATATTATCACTAATGAAATCTAACAAGCATTACTCAAAAACTGCAAAGTGTGACATGTGAAAACCTTGTTTTTGTCAACGATAATGCCTTTGGCCATACATTACCTAAAAATTTATGCCCGAAATTAGATAAAAAGCAAAAACTTGAAATTTTGAAAAATTTTAAAAATTTAATTTACTAGAATTCCTAATTTTGATAGAAATTTTTGTAATATGAAAACAGGAAATATGAAGGATAAACATTTAGCATTTGATATTTATGGTTTCTTGTACTGACTACTTGCCATCAAAACTCTTTATGATGTTTAGATCATTCGTAATCTAAACTTATTAACGGTAAACTTATCAAAATAAACTTTGATAGGCAAATTTTTGTATTATAACTAAATGTATCATTTATCATTCAAAATATCACACATATCAAAATATCATAAGTTAAAACATTCAAATTTTCACCATAATGAATATTAATTAGGTTGAGGAGACTATAAACTAGTTAGTAGGCTTTAAGCATATGGCAAGTGATAAGGTATCACATGAAAATTTAATTCTATTGTACCAGTAGAACTATTCAGGACGAAGAGAGGAACAATTTAGGAGTGGGTGGAACTAGTCCTTTATTTTCTGAAATGATATTACTGAGTTCTATTTACTACCTAAGGAAGTTGATTTAGTCTAATTTGCGTTCACCTTTTATCATTAATTTTAATCTCTAATGAAAATAGAAAGCATACCAAGACAACTTCCATTTCTGCTTTTGACCCATGAATATTTTGAATATACAAATCGATTATTGATGAGAAAAATTTGTTGGATCAATGGAAGCATACATAATCATTGATATCAACTCTTTCACGAGATATTTGAAAGATATTCCGAAGTTCGGGATATATTTCTAAAATTCTCTGCGAGCTAGATGAGGTCATAGTGGTACTCATCTGAGTCATAAATATTCTTTGTGAATAAGTTTAAAAGTCAAATCAAAATTTCGTTGAAATCAAATTACACGAATTTACCAAAACTAACTTCATAAATTTCTGGTTTTAGAATTGTCATCACTATCTTTCTCCACAATTGCTCGTCAACAATTCGACACATTAGCTTACATATTTTTTATTTCAAATGTCAAAGTTTAAATAAGCCAAGTTCAGTTTGTGTGTATCCAAAAAAAAAAAATAAAAAAAAATTTAGTTGGATTTTCCTAGTTCTGATAGCTTATAAAATTTGGAATAATCATTAACTACCAGCTATTATCATATCAATTGGCCTATCTTATTGATAAAATAGCTGCTGTTAATATCATATTTGATGATTAATTAAATGATCATACTATTCCTTTACATAGTTCAAAACCTTTTAAGGAAAAATTATATGTGTGAAAATACTTTGGAAGAAAAAGAATTTTTTGTTTTTCGACAACTGTCATTTCCAAATGTTTCTATCATTTTTTCTTTGATCTTAGCGATACCATTATATGTAAATGATTCATGAAAGCAATTTACCATTTATTCCTTATGTAAATGAAATTGCTATTAGTATGCTGAATTGAAGCTTGAAAAATGAGGAAAAAAAAGAATATCAGCACTTAGGATCTAATTCTTAAGAAAAAGAATAAAGCACAAACTATATGGGTCAATTTAAAAGGTCAAAACAAGCAATTTAATGCCTTTCCAAGAATCCTGAAATTTGCATAATTTATCTTATAATATTTACAAACCCATCTTATATTCCTCAAAAGTGCAATATATATGGTACTACTTTTCAACTTTTGGATTGTTGTTAAATTGCTTTTTCTAAGATATGAAGAAAAAGGTGTAGAATGCTTAGAAATAATTTCATTTTTTGAAATCGAAATTGATCAATTTTCCAAATTATTTTTTTTTCTGAAGTGATAAAGAGAAATATAAACATGGAAGGAATTTTTTTTCTTTTTCAACAACATTTTGAAATTAATAAATTAGTGGATAGATAAGTGTTAAAGCTTACTTTTTACAACCATTCTTTTTCAAATCATTTCAAAATTTTCATCAGGTTTTTTTTCCATTCTCAAGTAGTTGTTCTCGTTGTCACATAGCATATTTGTTATTTGACAAACTTTGTTGACAAATTATATCCAGTTTCTTCAAACTGAAATGTATCGTTTTGTTTCTTTTATTGACCTTTTTTTGTATACTTATATTTGTTCGTCAAACCTAATTGGTTGATATTAGATATCTGCCCTTATCACTGTAGTGATAACTACGCCACTTTGACTGATAATATCATCAATTATTATAACTTGTTTATGCCTTTTTTTACATTTTCCAACTGCTTCGTGTCTCCTCAATAATCGTTAATTAAAGTGATAACCTGTCAAATTAAATTGCTAAAATCATTGGTAAATACGAATATATATATATATAAATAGATCTTTTTTCAATTAGTTATATAACATAAATTACAAAAAAAGGTCATCAGTGAAATTCAGTTTTATGAACTTATGAACTCTCATGTGGATGAGTAATTTTTTCGTCAACAGAACAAACAGAAGAGTGATTTTTGAGTAGAGAGAGAGAGAGAGAGAGAGAGAGAGAGAGAGAGAGGAGGAGAGAGAGAGAGAAGAAGAGAGAGAGGAGG